CCCCAAAACCCCAAAACCCCATGTATGCATAGTTAGTTATTTAATGAATGTAGAATAGCTAACGTATTTAAATTTAAATTAATAATTTGAAAAATATAAATGATTAGTTCTCTTAAAGACGTCTTTATGCTAACAGCACTCAGAGAAGAATTTAAACACACTCTTGATTAGCATGGAACCTAGCTTGAGGAAAATGAGTATATAAAAAGCTTTATATATTAAGATATGAATTCACCACTGAGAAGTGTCTAAGAACTAATCCAATATCTAGTCCAGTATTCTAATGAAAATTAAAACAATATCTAAATTCTAAACATTCAAAATCAAAATCTCGAAAGCTAGCTTCAAGAACTTAAAATATAAAATTAATCCAAAGATTACCTTAAGCTAAAGAATCATGTTGAAAAGCTTTAAGAAAAAATCCAAGAAATAGAAAATAGTTTTACTCCCTCAAAGGCAAATACAATCTAGTTATTGGATGAAATATAAACAAAAGAGCTTGAACTCTTAAGAGTTAAAGACTAGACTATGCAGAAATAGATTAAGAAAGCAAAGTTAATTAACAGAGAGCTCAAGGAATAAATCAAGCAAAAAGATCTCATTCAGGATAAACTAAAGAATTAATATGAATCTCAAATAGAAGTTCTTTCCAAAAATCTATAATTAACACAAATATAGGCTAGCGATAATCTTTAACTGGGAAAATAAGCTTATGGTGCAGTTTTTTAAGAAACTGAATCTAGATATTCAAAGACTATCAATGAGTTAAATTAGAAAGTATTATCTATCCAGGATAGTTAGTACCAAATAAATACTAAGTTGCAAGAGAGAATTGTTGAACTAGAAAAAGAAAATAAGAAATTGATTGAAAGAACTAAATTAGCAAGTGACAGTTAGAAAACATTAGATTTGTCTATGAGAAATTCATTGGGAAAAGAATTTTAACTTCCAATAGATTAGGTGTAGTATGAACTAATCGATGAAAGCTATCTTTAACCAGCAATAATCAATTCACCTTCTATTATGAGTGATAGGAAGAAAAGTAGACTCAGTAATACTGGAATAAGCTCATTCAACTTACCTTTGCAAATGGATGAAAGGATTAAGTTACTTGAGAATATCAGAAGATCGTAGCAGGATAATGGAGAGATGATATTTTAAAAGACAATGAAGATGCAAACTTCCAATTCTGCTAATCTTGACTATCCAATCAAGTAGCAAATGAATAGAACCTAGATTTTATAGTCAGCCATTTCAAATAACAGCAAGTGTAGTGAAGATTCTTCTTCTGCTAATTACAAGTGCTAAATAGATCTTACAAATTTGATCAGTGATGGATGCAAGAAATAGCCCAACCAAGAAGCCATTAAAGCTTTAAATCCCACAAAAAAGCCTTAAAATCAAGTATTAATTCAAAATGGTCCTAACATAGCTTCGTAAATTATAAATATCAAATTTAAGGAAAACGTTGACCCCAAATCAAATTAGAGACAGGATCAATCCAAGACTGCTCTTTTCAAAACTAATTAGGAGTACTATAATAAATAGTCACAAAAGAATTTTAACTCTTAAAATTCCCATGAAAACTAAAAATATGATAATCTACTAAAGAGCTTCTAGGATGAGAACAAGAAATGCGAAAATAGGATTAAGGAGATTCAGGTTAAGATGAAATGCACTACTCATACAGGTGGAAATGCTTCAAGCAAATCCCTTATAGATTAAAAATTCAATCCAAATCTAAACAATACACAAAAATACTTATCCAGTAATTATCATACTTCGTAGTTGCAATATCCATAACAGAGCTAAGTAGCATAACAGCCGGAGACTCATGTACTCTCACCTAAGAAACAAAGCATGATTAATATTGATAAAATAATGTGCTAAGCTCAGAAAAACAGAGAAATTAGACAGTATATGAATGAGAAGATATCAATGATAAAAAATTAAAAGGCAGGTTCAGCTAATAACTCTAAGAAGCAACAGCTGAATTAAACAAATATTAATCAAAAGGAAAGCAAATCTCAAGATAGACAAAATAATGTAAATTAGATTAATCCCAAGACATAATTAAAGAATGCTTCTATCATCATGAGTCATGCATAGAATATTGCTAGGCATATGCGAAATAATAGCGTCATATGACTAATATTTTCATTTATATTTTTCAAATCAGCTTAATTTCCTTAATATAGTACTTATGGGGTTTTGGGGTTTTGGGGTTTTGGGG